TTAATATATAAAATTCAAACTGCGACCATTCATTATTGATCAACCGTTAGCTAAAAGGTCGTCCTGCTTTCGGTTTTTTCCACAATTAAAAAGTGAAAAATGGGTCGATACTTCCTCTAACGGATGTCAGAATGCATCTTTCTTTTTGCTCACGAACACCAATCTCGGTTTCCTGCAGTTATCTTATTTACTAAAATTCTAATTATACTACCGTTGAAGATGTTTAAGTTTAATGGGTTCGATTGATGCGGCTCGGTGAATAGGACTAGTCTCAAAATAATGCCGGAACTAGTCATCGACAGAAAGCCTTTTTATTGAGCGATGCAATTGCACATGAGAATTGTTAATAAATAGTGTTTAACTTGAGCAAGAATATAATGTTGAGAATATTTAATTAGGTAGAATATAAGTAGACATCGATATATATTTCTAGAATATTAAATTTTCACAAATTTAGATTTAAAACGAATGTTTATATTTAACTTGTTAGAATAAAATTGATTAAACTTTGATTTAGATCGATCTTTCAATATGTGATCCTTCGCACAAATGCGACATGTTTATGAACCGAGATAATATCTTCAAAAATAATTTCGATTTTTTTATTTAATTCTGTAACTAAACTTGTTCATAGTACACAAATTGAATAATCACAGCACACTTTCGATTTGTTCGATTTCGCATACGATAACAAAGACTCATCTCAAAAAGTTCCTCTAGGAATTTTGTAGATAAGATCATCTTCTTTCATCTTTGTTTTCTTACTAAATTTATCAAGAAAAAAATATCCTTGTCTGTTCCCTATACAAAATTGTTGACTGATGAGAATTTTCTTTGATTGTCAGTATAATTGGCATATTCAATTTATTGTAAATTTTCTCATTAGATTTTATCGACAACTTTCATCGGAGTTGATTTTATCAAATGTCAGCTTCTACGATTCGTCGTCAATTGTTGAATATCAACTAGAAAAGCTACTCTGACAAATCAAAACCTCTTTGCAATGCTTTACAAAAGTAAAAATGACTGAAGTTTTCGAACATTCACATCAACTGTTTGTTCAAATGTTTGGAAATATGTCATTTGGAGTGACAAAGCTCATTTGGAATTCTTCAATCAAAAAAATCGAACGTTGGTGAGGTGAACGAAAGTGATAAACCATTTAGTTTTCCCCCTTGGATACTAAAGTGATGAGGCTATGTGAGCGTCTGGGGTTGTATGACAAGTGCAAGAACTGATCCTTTGATTTTCTAGGAACGTCGACTGAATGGTCCCGCGCATTCGCTGACGATTCATTGAAGATATATTTGACACGCAAAATGAATATTGGATTTTCATGGAAGACAATGCTCATACTCACGAATTATTTTGACAAAAATAATATTCTACTTATGAAATGGCCGACTTTATCTACAGACGTTAACTCTATCAAAAATATGTGGAATATGATTGATGATCAGCTGAAAAAAATCCGATCGAAGATTCATCATGCCAGATCGTCTGAAATATTGTCACATGGTCAGAGACAAAACAATGAGTAAATGTTGAAAAACTGTGAGAACATATCATTTTTGTCAAAATTTTTCATCAGTCAACAATTTCGCACAGACGAAAATCCAGGATTTTTTCGTAGGTGTGTTTTTTTCCCTCAATATCTTAAGGCAAAAAATCAAGATGAAACATAAATTGTGAAAAATGACTATCTGATCTACAAAATCCATAGAAGAGATTTTTGAAATGAATCTTTGTCATCATACACGAAGTTAAACAATTGGTAAATATGGTGTGACTCTATTATTTCTCACCGTAATGTATATTGCTCAGTTATGTTGCTAATATTATCCATTAAAATGACATTTCCGAATAGAACTCAACAAAGTCCATCGAACACATTCATATTGAGCATAGTTGTATTTAATATTCGCATTCATTTTCCAGAAGAGAAGTGTTTCGAATCGACAAAGTTGAAAAATGTTTTTCGTCATATTTTAGTAAAAACTAGACTATTCTATGCAGAACCCGATGTTGGTGACGAATGTCTGAGTTAGTTTTTGACATTTTTTGCTTTGATTTCATCACAAAGTACGATTTTCGAGAAAGTAAGGATCAAATATAATAACGAAGACTATTTTCATTTTTGTTATTCGATGCATTTATACTTGTTAAGCAATAACTTAATATTGTGAAAGTGTATTAAAAACTAAATATCTTTTATATCAATAGTTTATTTCTATGTCACTTCGTTTATGCTAAACTCTGAGCTTCGCTTTAAAAAATTTCATTTTTTGGAGTTTCGTAATGGTCGGGATATTCTCAATAGGTCAGTGTGACCTAAAGAAGAATCAATGAAATTTTGACTGGTAGTAGAGTTAAGAGGCGCCCACCCTCTAAAATCAAAGTTTTTTTTCGAGACAGTTCATAGTAAAAATTTCAGCTCGATAGATTGAGTCTACCGAAAGTTACCATAAGAGGATAGGTCAAAATTTAGGTTTCCATGTGTCTCAAATTTCTCCGCCATTTCGAATGCTAGAAAATTCTGGCTGCTTCTAAAATGTAGCCAAGATATGGGGCTAAAACTTAACAGGGTCCAATTTTTCGATTCTCTCCCAGCTTATGTTTTTCGAAAATTTCTCTGATGATATATTAAAAAGTAAATGTGGATAGGTCCAGAAAAGTTTCTTTATTATAAACATTAACGAGGACATCGAAAAATTCCACTCTGTTATCAAGTTGTAGAGTTCATTTTTGCCTTCATATTGACACCAATGCCAGCTTTCTAACGTTTAGAATAGTGGAAAAATCTTGGACACACGGAAACATAAAAATAAAAAATCCTATTTTGAGAAAAAAAGCAAAATTTTTTCGAAAAAACCATATTTTATCCTATGGAAGGTTGATAAAAGCCTGTGCAATATTCTTAAATCTAATCATAGAATCACTAAACTACAGTGCATTCGAAAGTACACACTTAGTTCTATCTAACCAGCTATAAACCACAAAATCGAAAAATTTGACCGAAATTGAGATTTTTGTTGGGGAGAGAGAGGGAGGCTTTAAATCGTCTCTATTTCTAATGAATGTCTCAAAGATATTGCAGTTGCCATTAACAAGAACTCGATATAACTATGTCAAAAAAAAATGAAATTTCGCAACGATTGACGACGTTATATAATAAATGTTTTTTATTGATTTATTAAATGTAAACAATATAAAGGAATTAAGTTTTATTAAATGAATAAACATGTTGTATACCTTTGTTTATATAAGTTATGTGTTGGCCTTAAGCATATTAATATATCTTGTTGAAATTTATAGTTTTTTTTTAAAAATAAAATCTTCTTTGTAGTATAATTCAGTGTTATAAAATCAAGGTCTAAAGTTGAAGATTATCGATTGTTATGCAAAGATTGAAAATTCTTCTTTTTTTTTGATAATTTAATAGATAGTAGAGAAATTTGTCAATGTTAACTTATTTATTACTGTGAAAAATGAAGCATAAGTAGACAACTTAATTAAATTATCTTTTTTATTTTGTTTTCTACTAATCCGATGGCATACAACAGTTATTTTCAAGTTTATTTCCTAGTTGCAAAAGTGAGAGTGTATACTAAAAATAAATAAATCCGAGCAATAGGTTTGATTGTTGCAATCTATGAAGCTGTAAATGAAGATTAATAATTATTTGTTTATTTTCATCCTCTTAATAATGAATAAAATAAATATTTTCAGTATTTAAAAAAAAAAAGGTCTTATTGATAAAATAATATAGATGTACGCCATCTTTTGAATTGAAATCTTTGTTATTAGATTGGCTTTTCTTTTATCTTGTCCTTGACAAAACTCTAATCATAAAAAAGATAATCGAGATACAATATTAATAGTCAACTTTTATCATCCAACTACTTGATCATTTATCTATGGGCAAAATTGAGTAAAGAAAATTTATTTATTATAAATCATTCAATTTATTATTTGTTTATTTAGACAAATTTATATTGAAATATGATTAAAAATAACTTGTTAAACAAAAAATCTTGAAATAAAATATAAATATATCAAATAGAAGAAGAATTTATAGACAGATTCGTATGTCATTTTATTATTATCATTAAATATTTCGATATTTATTTTTTATCGAATATTAATATATTCATAAAAACAATATTTATATGAGATTCTCAATTTTTTTTTGTCGAAATAAAGAGAGTCATTATTTAAAAGGAAAACGAAGAATATTTTTTGTTCCAAAAGTTTAAATGTAAAATAGTTAATAACTAAAATCTTGTAAGGTTACTTCTAATAATTATGATGTAACATAAAATAAAATAGTTTCCTTGAAGCACGTGTTACGTAAAATGATGCTTTCATTCACCCAAGTTACTTTCTTCTTTGACATAAAACTCTTCTTCTCTTCATAGAAGAGAATCAAAAAAAAAACACAAATGTCGGTTTTTTTTTTTCTTTTCTTCTTTGAGTCCATAGCTGTTTGCAACAGTTTTCAATGTCGTTGTGATTCGCTACTTTGTCGAAGGACAAAAAAAGAACTGAAAAATTGATAAAGTATGCTATTGCACTTTGGTTTTTTTTTTCTTCTTTCATTAAAATCCGACAGGAAGAAAAAGAACTATTAGAACATCGAACTTTTCTTTTTTTTTCAATGCAGTAGAGAAAAAAGAAAAAGTCGAGATGGTACTTCTTCTCTCAAGGTTTTTCTTTTTTCTTTATGATAATAAATAAAAGACGAACGAGAAAAGGAAGGAGAAAGAAAGAAAGAAAAGAAAAGGTTGAATAAGACCTTCATCTGATTTATCTTCCAAGGTATATGTGCACAAACGAGACTATTATATAAGAAAAAAAAAAAACACCGAACAGAGAACAAGAAAAAAAAACTACGTGATTGTGTCAATCGTGTTTCGATCGGCACAACATTTTTTTTTGTTCGAACCAAATTGAAATCAATCCACTGAATTTATTTCCTACGATATAAACACGTGCAAATTATGATTATATCAATTATTCGATTGTCTTTATTAGGATTTTTTATCAATTTTTTTTGTAAGTCAAATCTTTTTTAATAATAGATTTTTTCATTTTGAAAACAAAAAAATCAGATACTTTACTTTCAATAAATGAATTTATTATTCATATCAATGATTCATCGTTAACTGATTTTTATTTTGCTTTTTAATATATATTAAAACAATAGATTTTAATTGATTTTTATCATAGAAAAGTTATCTTTCACAAATTCTATTATTATTAATAAAACGATTTTATTTTCATTATCTTTCTTATAAAATATAAAAGATTTACATATTTGTTTGTTTGTTTTATTATTGATAATATAATAATGAATGAATATTTGTTCTAGTTGTATATGTTAATGCCAGAACAAATCCTCGTTTTGATATGCGTGACAAAGATGGTATTATTTTTGATCCAATTGCACCACGAGCCGGTGAACGATTAATAGCTAAATGTACACTTGTTGGACTTACAGATAATGATAAACGAAGTGTAGGATTATTTTCATGTATTTTTATTTATAAAACAATTAGAAAACAAATGAAATTTTTAAGAGAAAAAAAGTATTGTTTCACCCCCATTTCTCTACCGTAGTAAATTCGATCGAGTCAAATTTGTTTTTTTAGATATACTAGACACTGTTTCGGATGGAGATTTTTCTTTCAAAAAATATCAATCTGTTGACTTCTTTTTTGCCGTTACAAAAAGAAAGTCACTATTGAAAAAAAACATGCGTTTTTTTAGGGTGACTTCGATATTTTAATTTTTTTATTCGAAAGACAATAGATAAAGAGAAACCAAAAAAAAAGTCCCTATCCCAAACAGTGTCTGGTATCTGTAAACAAAAAGTTTCACCTTGATCAAACACAGTATTTCGGAGAAACAGCTGTGATCCAAATATCTGACAGAAGATAACATTCAAGAACTTTGAATCTATGAAAAATTTTTCTCTACATATCAAGATCTATCTGCTCGAAAAATCATGAAAATTTTTTGATGAACCATTCTTCAGGAACTCCGAAAAGGAAGAAGGGTACCATTAAATAAATCCTGACTCTCTTTCGAAATAAGATCAATTTTTATAATCTATGCATCAGTATCAGTTCGGTTAGATATAGAGTACATTTCTCACTGATGCATATTTTATTTTCATCGATTTAAACTAATGTTTATTTCAAGGAACACAGTTAGTAGACAAATAGAAACATACAAATCAGTTGTTTTTTCAATTAATTTATCGTATGCAATACGATTTTTTTCGATATATCGAAAAACTAGATTGTCGTCAATAAAGAGGAATATTTCGGAGAGTAGAATTTTCAGCCCACTTCCAATTTCCGACGGTGGTTCGGCTCTGGATGAAATTCATCTCAATGGTGTTGACAAAAAAAGTAGTCTTTCTTCAATGAATAGTTAACACATTTCCATTGTGCTGAACAGAAGAGGATAGTACGTAGCAGTGTGATTTTAGATGACACTATATATCTACGATCCTGTTCAGCATACAACACTTACGTTTTAAAATGTTACTTATTGCAGAGAAGTAATAATTATCTCTCAAGACTAAAACACTTCGACTATTCACCACTATGTCGTTCTACTCAGCACCGTGAAATCTATAGATGAATATCGATTTCAAATAAAAGTAAGGGTGAATATTTTTGTAATAATATTTGATATAAATTAGATAGACAACTACGCTTTTCATCGTTTCAAAGAGGAAATGAAACTACATCGAATTCCTAACACTTGACCTTTCTCGAAAGTTTTCTCAGAATCATTGGACAAGTTTTTTTTAAAATCGGAGTTTTTTAATAGATTCAGAAGGTAGATTTTTCGTTAAAAAAATCAGTAAAAAAGTTCAATTTTTCGTGAAAAATCTACCGAAAACACTCAGTAAAATAAAAATAACTCGTGATTTAACAGTGGAGTTCTATAGATAATTGAATTTTAGTCAACATCTCTGATAGACAACTATTAATTTAAATTCCAAAACTTTTACATTACATTATATTTTCTATTTTAGAAATTTGGCGAACGAACGTGAGAAAAGTTTTGAGAAAGTTCTAATGTTAAGAATTCGATGTAGTTTCATTCCCTCTGTTAAACGATGAAAAGTGCAGTTCTCTATCTAGTTAATATAAAATATTATTCCAAAAATACTTATCCTTATTTTGGATTAGTTATAGAAATATACCTTTTTTTTTAACGGATTGATCAAGTCAATTTGGACCCGAGCCGAAATTGATCTAATCCAAATATCTGATTGTTAATATTTTATTTTAAAAAATCTTCTGAGTTTTATATAAAATAAAAATAAAGTGTAAAGAAGTTAGTTGATGATATAAACATTTAAAAGATGCATCTATTCCTATTAGAATGATAAATATAGATAATATTCGATTTTCGATAGTTTTATAATAAATAATTGTTTGAATTTAAAATGTAAATTATCGAAAAAAAGAAAATATATTGAAATATTTAAAAATAAATTTGAATAAAAGAAAAATAAATATTATCTATATTAAATTAGGTCAGTTGGGAATTACATCGTTTAAATGATCAAAAAAAATTCTATTTAGCAACAGATGATCAAGTATTTCAATTTAGTCAACCAACTCGTCGTTTATATGCTGAACATGCTATTGATTCAAGTGATTGGTATCTTATATTTGATCCATTAGATCGAGAAGATTATGGAGATTTAACATGTATGTTAGCTGATACTGGTTATAATAATTCAATATTTCTTCGACGACGTCTTATTGTATATAGTGAACCATTTGTTGTTCAATCATCAACAAAAGATATTGAAGTTAATGAAGGTGATAATATATTATTAAGTTGTTTTGCTCAAGGTTTACCACCACCACAAATTCAATGGATGAAAGCTGATGCTACTCCATTACCAGATGGAAATATTCGTGCTATTGGTGTAAAGTTTTTTTATTAATAATTTCATCTTTATTTTTCTCTTCTTCTAGACTGTTGAACTTCCAATAAATGATATTCGACAACAAGATCGAGGAATTTATAAATGTTTGGCAATAAATCTTGTTGGTTATGGTGATATATGGACTCTCAAAGTTAATGTTAAATGTATATTCAATAGAAACAAAAACAAAAACACTCATATATATATAATTGTTTATTTGTTTTAGTTCCACCATATATTCGATGTCCATATCCAATGGTTGGTCAAGCAATTAATTTTTTAGTTGATATATATGTTGAATGTTATGTACATGGTTATCCACCACCACGTATAACATGGTTTAAATAAAATTCTTTAAATATAATAAATAAATAAATAAAAAAGAAAATTTGTTTGAATAGGTATAAAAATGATTACGGTGGTCAAATATCTAATACAATGAGTGTTGATGTTCTTCGACCAATATGGAATTCATATAAATATAAAATTGAAGCAACAATACCTGAACCAAATATATGTACTGATTGTATATTATCACGTTTAACAGTTATAAATGTCTTAGCTAGTGATTTGGGTTCATATGTTATTAATGCAACAACAAATGAAAAACCTTATCGAACAGCTTTAGCTTCAGTTTTTATATTTGGTATGAGATTTTATTAGAAAGTTTTTTTTTTCTTTTTTAATTCATTTATTATAGAAACACCTGATTGTCAACAATTTATAACACATCGTAATAATGTTGGTTGTAAACGTATTCGTTTTACAACTAGTAGAGCTTCATCAACAATTTTTCAATATCATTTTTTCTTATTCATCATTCTTACCATAATTTTTATCTAAAACAACAAAAAAGAAAAAACCTTTTTCTTTTTCTTTTTCTTTTTTTATCTTTCTATACTTATTCGATCTCAATCGAAATAGTAAATGGTCATATTTGACTATGATTTTATTTCTCGTCCTTTTTTTCATTTTCTTCTTCTTCTTCTTCTTCTGTTACTTTTAAATATAAATCCTAAAATATCTATATCCATATAAATGACATTCCACAGGGAATAAAATATACTAATAGAATTATTTAATGGTTTTACATTTAAATTCAATATATTTTATAAAATATTTCGATTAATATTCAGGGAATAGAATATAGAAATTATCATTTTATTAAAGGAAAAAAAAATTTGAATATTTCTCGAGATTTCATTTGTTTGAAATAATAAATAAATCACCAAATTATTTTCAAATCGAATATTATAGGAGATATTTATTCTTTACATGAAAAACCAAATCCTAGTAGGATTTTACCTATATTTTAAAATCAATTTTTATGTTTTGTTTACATACATATATTATTAGTATGGTTTATACTAAATGCGTGACAGATTATGGTAAAAATTGTAGCTTGTGTGATAAAGATTCCGATTGGTGAGAAGGATCTTATCCACAAGGGAATCGGATGGATAGATCTTTTTCCAAATGGATTATATCCTTTATATATAAATATATATTGAAAATAATCTCTTTAGATAAAAAGTGAATATTAGGTTAGGTAGAACTTCTTTTTGTTTTTGTATATATATATATGAACTTTTTTTTAATTGTTTGCAATGAGTGAAAATGTGCATATGTTTTAATAATAATATCTTTTTATTTTTCTACTCTCTTAATAAATGAATATATATATGATTAATATTTGTGTGGATTTTTGTTTTAATGGTTAGATTTGATTTAAATAAATAAATTTCTCTTTTTAAAATCTATGAAATAATATAAATATAAAATATTTAATTTGTTAGATGAGTTCATTAAGACGTTCATCAATAACTGGACTTTATCATCCAATAGGTTGGAGAAGGACTAATTATTCATCATCTAATTCATCTTTAACAGATAATCAAACTTTATCAACAATAGAAAAAAAAACAACAACAACTATTAACAAAATTTTAAATGCTGATAAATCAGGTGGGAATTTGTTAATGAATTAAATCTAAAATGAATATTTATTTTCATAGGATTTTTACCAACAGAATCATATTTATGTTCTTCTTGTTCATATTCAAATGTTGACTTATCAAAATCGTTATCTTCTATTGATCGATCTATTTTAGAAGGTCAACTAAAACGATCAATTTCCTCCAATGAAACAATGGAAGCAACTATTAAACGAATACGTACTGAATCGATATTTTCTATAAAAGATCTAATTAATCAAAATCAAGTTAAACATTTATTTAATTCAATTTTTAATTAGATTCTTGTTATTATTTCTAGTTATTAGAACGTTCTCTTAACGAATCAAGAATAAAAATTTATCAATTAGAAGATTTATTAGATAAAACAAAACAACAAACAATTAATTCAAATGATAAAATAACACCAATTTCAATTTATGAACAGCAAATAAAAACATTAGAAAATGATAAACTTCAATTAAAACTTCAATTAGAACAAGTTAATTTAATTAAATTAGATTTTATTTAAATTATTTTTCTTAATATTTAGTGTAAAAATTTACATAGAAAAGAAATAACTCAACTTGAACAAACTATAAATGATTTAAAACATCAATTAGTTGATTATCAGAATAAATTAAAATTAATTCAATTTGATCAAGATAAATTAAATAGGTTTTTCTTTTTTATTTTGAAATTTTCTTGTTGTTGTTGTAATATATTCTATAATTTAGTATAAATCAAAATAATTCGAATCAATTAAATGAAAAAAGTCAAACGATTGAACAATTACAAAAACGTATTATTGTTAAGTGTTTTTTTCTTTTAAAATATTTTTTAAATTAATCGTTTTTTTTTTCTATTTTATTATTAATAGGAAGTTGAATTAATTTTATCAACAATTGATTCAACCAATGTTATCAATCAATCATTAGTTAATGATGTTAAACAAATCAATGATCTTCGTTATCAAAATGAACAACTAAAAAAAGATGTTCAATTACTCAAGTAATTAAATCTTTTTTTAAAAACTCGATCTCTTACAGAAATCCTTCCGAGGATTAATATATCCAATACAATATTATTCTTCTTCATTATTACAGAGAGATTATTTTCAGATACATTCACCATCGTTTTACTTAATTCCTCACAAATACAATTAGAAAATAATTTATATTTTCTATAACGAAACGTTATTCATGTACTATCTCTCATGCACGAGTCACGGAGTATTGCTAAGATGTTTACCATGGTCTGTAATGCGACAGAAGAAAGGAAGAGTCGTTGCTAAGGCATATATTACGACTTGTGATCATATATCAACAATGGATATCGCTACGGCCGAGTGGTTGCGTTTTTTGACACCTATTCACCAGGTGGATCGTCCTATAGCATGATGACTGCGCTGTCACATGGGGAACTGTTCGGAGATCATGTGATCATTTTTTGACATAACTTCTTTCGAGATTTGGCTCATTCCTAAGAAGGGGTAGGGGGACCTTCGCAAAGGTACCTCCCTTGGTCTCAGTCACGTCCTCTTATGGAGCATGAAAAATTCGCAAACCTATTCCCGCCTTGGCCTCGGCCACGAGTTTTCATGGAACAGGAAAGTCTGTCGCGCTATCTCCCTATCATCACTTTTCATGAAAAATGGGGAAATTTGCAAGACTTTTTTTTTTATTGTAGAGAGATCTGCTCTTGTGGTTAAGGATGCAATGGTGATGATAACCGTAGCTAAGATTGTTGGTTTGGACCGTTGAATGATCGTCACCGTTGCATCTCTACTTGTGGTTAGTTAATGTGTAGAGAAAGATGAAGCAGTTGAGCGCAAGAACTCTATGTCAGACCGAACTTCTGTCGAAAGGTAAACATAATCACAGATGTAGGGAACATATCGGACTACTAAATCTGTCCCTAGGCGGTGTCCTTTATTTGAAGATAGTCGAAAGGCAGGAAGATTCTAGAAAAGTATGACCAACGCCTGCCAAAGTCTGCGGAGGTAAGAAAGTAGAAATTTCTATCTAACGTACTTCAAAACTTATTTTTGATTGTGTTTGATAAAAAATATTTATTGTTAATATTGATCTTCGTTTTTTAGACTTAAATGTAATGAACGAATATTACATGATGAAGAAACTCGAATATTACGTAAACAAGTTAATATAAAAGATGATTATCGAACAGTAATAGCTAAACAACAGGCAGAAATTCATGTAAGAATTCTTTCCTGTTTTTATTTTAATTTAAAGAGAAAAGAAAAATAAGTTATTATTGTTTGTTTGTTTTTTTTTATTTAGAAACTTCGTGAACAATTATCAAATGAGAACAAAACAAAATCGATATAATATTTGTCATTAATATTGTATATTGATAAATATATTCTTAGAAAAAATAAATAAGAATAAAAGAATTGATGGAGCAATATAATTTGTTGAATTACAATAATCTCGATCACAACAATAGATTGTTACATCCGTTTGGCTTGTTTGAACTGGACAAAAAAATACTGAACCTTTTAATACTAAACGACGACCATCGCCTAAATTCACGACTGTTGTCTACAAATCACAACAAATAATAAGTCAAAAAATTTCTTATCTATATTTCAAATAATAAAAAAAAAAAAGAAAAAACTTACAGTGCATTTTGCAAGAAAATTTGTATTATTAGTTATTGTAACATAAGGATAATTTTCAGTAAATGGTTGAGGACAATCTGTACATTGATAACATATTATCGAATTAACCATATCAATACCTAAACAATAATTATTTTATTAGAAAGGAACCTGTCGGATAACCTGATCTATTTAGAATTGAGAAACCAAGTATACACTTTTCTACCACAAGTTGAGGTGCGTCAAATCGTATATAATAAATTTGATTTTCATAACATTTTCATGGAACTAGAGTCAATTTACTGATAGACGACTATGCATCCAAAGTATGATCATTGTGGTCGTTGATATCAGTCGAAAGTATTTGTAAAAAATTTTTCTTATATACAGTTTTGTAGAGTTTTTGATGAGCTACAAGCTCATATACTTAACATTTCTGATTATTCTATCTTTGATAGAGAAAAATGTCATTTTTCAAACTTTTATCACCGTTTTTCGCTAATGATGGGTTCCGTTTATTGAATGGTGTCGACTATCAAAGAGGTGACCAGACACCAAACTTTCTCAGAAATTGTTCACGATGTAGCACTACAACACATACTATTTGAAAGTTTTTCAAAATTTGTATGTAATGCCTAAAATTGGCTTGCATTGAGAAGTCTTAACCAATTTTTGCATGAATTTTTATCGTTTAACACTGTATTTCGACATATTGACTATAAAAAGTCGGTTATTATGTGAAATAAACATGATATTCTTAATTAGCATAAAAAACTGCATCGAATAGTTTATATTTTAAATAAATATTTTTTCCGTCAAAATTTGAGCTGTACTCCCCCTCAGACATTTTTTCTAAATTTTGGCAGAAAAAATATTTATTTAAAATATAAACTATTTGAAGCAGTATTTTTTGTTGATTTCGAATATCATGTTTATTTCGCATCAGAATGGACTCTCGATAGTCAAAATATTGAAATATTGTCTCAATAGAGGAAAATTTATGTCAAAATTGTTGACCATTCCTCAATGCAAGGCTATTTTAGGCATCTACCACAAACGTTGGAGAACGATCAAATAATGTATTTTGTAGTCCTATCTCAGGCGCAGTTTCTGACAAAGTCTGACGAATGGTTGCTTCTCCTGAGATTAATATTATTCATTACAGTGAACCTATAATTATCACTTTTGATCAAAATCAATGTCAAATTGATAAGAAACTATATTTTTTTTTTCTTCTGAATATTATATAATTAAATATATAAACTTGTAGCCGGTCAAAAACCCTGCACAACTGTATATAAGAAATATTTTTAAAGATGTCCTTCGACTGACTTATAGGTACTATACTGATCAGCTATTTATCACTATTTTAAACACTACCGCCTCCATCAGTAAATTATTCATAACTCTTCTTAAACTTTCTAGAAAATAGACTTATTATATACCATTGAATGCACCTTGAAATTCTATACAAGATGGTATATTTGGTTTCTCAATTCTAGATAAGTCATCTTATCTAATAGGGTCCTTTGTTGTATAACACGTTCAACAACGAAACAGTACAAGACAAAAGAGAAGTATCCTTTACAAAAAAAAATGCATAATTCTCGTCAAAAAACCGGTGCACTATATTGATCCTTTGATATTTTCAATAAATAAATTTTTTAATTAGTCACAAAGAGATTTTCTTCTCTTTCGACTTGTATATTATTTATATTTATAAATGAAATCGGCACAGAAAAAAAAGCAACACAATAAATTTGCAATTTTAATATGAATTCGTCAAAAATATATTCTTAGATGAAAATAAAATTGGTTCAGTAGGAAACCATTGGTGGAACCTCCTTGATAATATACTAGATACTTCTCAAATCTCGTTAGGTGGACTCAAAAGTCCAAAGGTAGGGGTCAAGCCCCCAACCCATCTTTCAAAAACTTCGCTAGGAAAGGCTGACCTTCTCCTCACTCCGCCACTGTAAGAAAAAAAAAATGTTGATTATATCAACTTTGATGGGTTCGTTAGAAAGATCTTCTAAGATGCCAGTTAATTATAATAAACTGTCGTCTAGAATCGGCTGCTGACGAGTTTCCTTTCAAATTAGAAATCATTTGTGAAAATCTTCCTCTTATTTTCTTGTTTTATTCCCTCGACTAAAGGAAGGATCATATGAAACAAAATAAGTTTGTGTGTATGTTTACAATCACGTGCTTTGTCATGTCCACACATACTTGCTACTTATACATTCCTTATAAACTTTTACCAAAGGTAATCGAACTCGAGGAATTCGAATCCATGAAGAGTTTTTCGAAATTTTTATTCTCGGTATGATGGTTTTGGCAAAAACTACTGAATCTAAGTCTACCAGACTCAAGACCAAATGTAAATGTAGGTGTCGTGGAACAGTCTTATCCGAATATGTGTCTAGATTTTCATGTTTCTTCTGAATCTTACGAAAAAGTATTGATTTTATTTACAGATGCTTCTCTTTTCTATAGTGTCATTCGATTTTCTCCGAGCATCAATCTATTGTGATGATCCTATCGGTCGTGCAAATAAAGTTCGCAAAATAGTTAATAATTGAATTAGTGAATAGATTAATTGAAAATAAATTTGTATAAATGTGAAAAAAAGAGTTACTGTATAGAATAAATATTCCAAATAATAATAATCGTAGTTGCATTATATATTTAAATGTTATATTCTTTGAATGTTTTCACTTTGATCGATTCTCTACGAATGATATATTCAAGGTGAATAAATATTTTTCTTGTTTGAAAGAGGTGGCAACAAATATTCTTTATTTCTTCTATTAGTTAAAATGATTGTCTTTTATGTTTCTTTTTTCTTTAAAATAGTGCCGCCTCCTCAATAGTCAATAAAGATTGATTGATTATATTTTGTTGTTCACCAATAAATATATTTCATTTGTAATAATGTTGATAAAAGGAAGTCTATTACTTGTCTTCACTATTATTTTATTAAATAGTAAGTTAAAATATTTAATATGAATTAATATATATATTGTTAATAAATCTAAAATAGATATGAAAATTGAATGTGGAATAATTCAATGTTATTCTTGTTCAGATTGTGGTGATTCAATATTAACAAATGAAAATATAATTCAAACAACTAAAGATGAAGATCAATGCATTGTAGAATATATTATATTTATTTTATTTTATTTTATTTAATATTAATATTTATTTGAATTTATTTAGAAAACAATAATTAAAACAGGAATAAATAGTGAAGGTCAAAAAACAATTAATCGAGGTGCTTCATCACAATGTCGACCATATTCAAGTGAACTTATTTCAATTGATTGTTGTCAATCGGACTTTTGTAATAAATAATATTAATTAATTATTATCTATTCAATAATATATTTCATTTATTTATATCGAGCAAAAATAAAATAAAATAAAATAAAGATATTTTTGTTTTTATTCTTAATTAATTCTATTAATTATTGTATGAGAATTCTTTCAAAATTGATATGGACTTTTTATTAGTTTATTTAAGTATTTGATCAAGACATATTCAATTAATATCAATCGAGTAGAATAGAAAAAAAACTAGAGTCGAAATATCAATATTTGAAAAGTGAAAATTAATTTGTTGAATCTGAAATGATTTATATTTCTATACATATAATAGAATTTTCAAATAAATTTAACTGTAGTTTTCTTTTCCAAATAAAATAAAATACAAATTCAGATTTAAATATAAAAGATCGAAAGATCAATACCTTATAGGCGTATGGCACAGTTTAACCTTTATTTATTAAAAAGATATTTAAATTAAAAAAGAGGAAAGAAACTATTAATAGTTGACTATGAATATTCTATATTAAGATTTAAAGTTAATTGAAAAATAGATATTAACTTTTATTTCTATAGAGACTTCGATTCGAATCGGATCGACGTCTGGAACGATTGTCAACTCTCTTATATTGATGAAAAGTGTTTTATTTAATATTTAATATTTTATCTTGAAATAAGATCTTCTTTCTTATATATAACTCGTATTTTGTTTAGTTTTTAAAATCTATAATTGTAAGATAGATATACTTTTCATAAGGTAACAATTCGTTGAAAGATAAAAAATACTAAATAATTAATGTTGATATAATAAGAAAAAAAGTAAAGATTAATATGATATTGAATATTCTGTTGTGTCTTAGTCATAGATGATTAAATATTTATATTGATTAAATATTTATTGATCAATCTTCATATATAAATAATAAATTAAAAATGTTAAGCAAATTGAATTTTTTTTAGAAAACATTTTTAATAAAATGATCAATAATCATTTATTTATTGATTGATCGTCATTAGAAAAATATTCTTTCATTTTTATTTCAATTTTACTTTAAAATAAGTTTAAATATTTTCATTGGTTCATAGATTTAAATTAATCTTAATTATTTATATATAACTATAGAAATAAATCAAAATAATTCTTCATTATTTAATGTTTAGCTTTTAATCTAATCAATAAGAATTATTTTTTATTTTTTAACAAGAAAACAGTTTAAATTGAACCTATTTCTAGATTAATTAGTCAATGTATTATAGTTTTTTTCTATGAATATCTTGGAAAATCCTATTAAATGTTATTATTATCAAACAATACTTTATAATCGATTAATTCATATTAAGAGATGTTTTTTTAATATAATAAATATAATAGTCGTTCTAAAAATGTAACTACTTGAAAAT